TAAGTTTCTGGGCAGGACCAGGAGCTGCACCGCAGTCATTCGACCCTTCTCCACTGCCCGAAACCTGGGCATTGCAGTTACTTAAGTCTGGTGTACCATCGAATCCCATCACATAAGTTCCAAATACATTTGTAGTCTCTTCCCTTGACATTGTCACCTGTCCATCACCATCAGTACAGGTAATTGTGACCTTCATTCCTTCGAGACGGAAATCGATCGATATGCGGTTCTTCGTACCATCTGCTTATATAGTAGCACATTAATTGAGAACAAAGACGATAAAACTAGTTGCAATCAACAAATAGCTATCTATTCTATAACAACTGAGCAGAGATAGAATCGAACGTTAGCAGAAAGGGGATAATCGAAAAGGGACCTCTCGCTGTCTTTGCATTGGTCGCAGAAGACTGCACCGGAGACCATGGCAGCAGCCTGTGTCCCATCAATGGCTGCTGCAAAAATGAGCAAAGATGTGAACAGAAGCTTGTGTGCCAAATCCCTGAAAGCAGGAAGATGATAAAAGTGAAAACTGATGGAATTGTACCAACACCAAAGGATGTACATCTGCACTAGCAAGGTTAAGTAAATAACCCACATTTTCAACCCTCAACTACTTCCATTAATGAGTTGTTTTGAAATTTCTGTTTTCTGAAGTATAGGAACGTACATACCAGAAAGGCTAGCACATTGATTGCAGAGCAGATAGATCTAAGTTACTGTTTCGGAGACCATTAAATGCACTTACAGGCACGTATCAGAAGATAATGGTGGATTTTCACAAACACTAACCTCAAAAACGAAGATCTAAAACCATGTAGCGGAAAAGTGGTGGTTGTAGACTTGTAGTAGTAAAGTGATTGTTCCCAGAATATCCATCTATTCTCTGGTCCCAACTTTAATGATTAAACGGTAAAAGGAGCGGAGGAGGGCCAACACATGAACATATAGATATATCTCGGATGAGTTGGCGGAACGATCACTTCAAAAAAAAATTATATAATTTAAATATTTTTTATATTCCATTTATAATATAGTAGTTTATTCCATAATTAAAAAATCATATTCTCGTTCCTGAATATACCTACTAGACGGAGGTGGTACTTGTTCTCTTCTTATGGGAAGTACAACATGTCACAGAGATGAGTCCACATATCTCAGAAGCAATACTGCTCACACTTTAACCTGAATATAGATAACAGTTGCGGTGGTGCTCAACAGTGATGAACCCACCATTCAACATGAAATTAAGCAGATAATTATGGGTTTCCAGGGAGGAAAAGAGAGTGAAAATTGACAGTTTATTAAGTAATCATTGACATTATTGCTAAAATGGGTGCATTTTAGAAGTTTGGTAGAAACCGATTATATTTCAAACCATTACTATTATGTGTTTTCACTGTTTTTTTTATGTAAAATATCAGCAAAAAGCAATAAATTGTGGAAAACCCCAAAAAAGCATGTGCGGTGGTGGATGCCACATATTAGACAGTCTCCCAACACGTATTCTTTGATTTGCAACCTCAGGCTGTGGATCAATCTCCCGGGACATAGAGGACCTTCTCCTTCACAAATTGCTTTGGGTATTTATAAAAAGGGTTAACTACTTTAAATATCACTTACTTTTAAGCTCAGATTCAAAATATCACTGATGTTTAATTTTATCACTGACGTTTATGTTTACTGCAATTATATCACCCGGCCGTTAATGGCTTAACGGCACGACATGGTATCTCAGTGTTGTGACGTTGTTCCCTCTCAAAACGACGTCATTTTGTTAAAATCATTTGAAAATAAATTGTTTTCCATGGGATTAGAACCTATATCATTCAAAAATAAATATTAAATACCCAACCATCAAGCTAAATTAATAACTTGATATGTTTTTAACAAATATAATATATATCTTAAATTGTAGTTGTATACTTCTTCCCACTCTCTTCTTCTCCAGCGTTTTCATGGCACTTACTGTAAGCTACCATAAGCACGGTTTCGATCTTAGGGTCACAACTAAAACCATCTTTCAAAGCTCGAATAACAATTGCAAAGATATATGGATTCACTAGCATAATTGGTCTATAGTGGCATTTAAAAGTGCCGCTAAAAATATTGTCGGAGTAAAAAAACGACGTTAATACAAACATTGCAACATTTAGTGGCGTTTTCCACTAATAAACGCTGCTAAAAGTCAGGTTATGTAGCGGTGTTTCTATAATAAAACGCTGCTAAAGGTCATGCTATATAGCGGCTTTTTTGGCACAAACGCTGCAACAAGTTCGATATATATAGGCGTTTTCCGCAACATGTTTGTTATTTAGCGGCGTTCTTAGTCAGAAATGCCGTAACAAATTTGATATTAGCAACGTTTCAAGCACAAACGCCGCCAAATATGCACTCCGTTAGTGGCGTTTTGCCCATAAATCGTCGTTAATCGAAATTGATTTTCAACATATCTTCTTATTATTTTTATATTACCCAAATTTAACCTATAACAATATTCATTAACCATCTTAAATTTAATTACAATTCAAATTAAGTAATAATACATAAAAACATAAATAAGTCAAAGTTTACAAACATCCCAGTTAAATATAATGTTGTTCAACATTTTTCAATAACATAGACAAAACATTAACCTTATAAAAACCTAGGATAATGAATTCTTCGTTTGATACTGCTGCATCATCTGCTTCATAGCTTCAATTTGATTTTGAAGTTCTTCATATTTTTTTCTTCTGAAATGATGCTTCTCTTGCTGCTCTATTTACTTTTCTCGTTGCTTAGAGAGTTTTTTTAATGAGATTCATGAATTGTACTTTATATTGTATGATCCTTATTATATTTTCACATTAATTTAACTCTCAAAACTGTTCAATTGCATCATTCTATAACTCTATCCCTAAATCATAATCCTTAAACTCTAAATCATAACCCTTAAACTCTAAATCATAACCCTATATATTGATGCAATTAATCAAATTTAAAAAGCTAAATTGATAAAAAAAAAGAGAAAATAACTTCAGTGACCAAAAATCCCAGATAATATACGATTTTGACCAATTTTTTTTGGATTTACGAAAATGACCAACAAAATCGCAATGCGATCTCTAATTTGCATTGCGATCTCCACTATCGCAAATTCGCGTTGCATTTCGCGTTGCGATAGTTGAAAATCGCGTTGCGATTTTTCATTTCGCGTTGCTATATTTGAAAATCGCGTTGCGATTTTCCATTTCGCGTTGCGATTTTCCATTTTGCGTTGCGATAGTCTACAATGTCGTTGCGATTTTCCAAATTCGTTGCGATAGTCTACAGTTGTTGTTGCGAAAGTCTACAGTTGTCGTTGCGATTTTCCAAATTCGTTGCGATAGTAAAAAAAAAGATTTCGTTTCTTAAGAATTTTCTCTAAAAAGATAGTATCCGCGCGGACGTGTCGAAGACACGTATTACCATTACCATTACCATTACCATTACCACGACCACGACCACGACCCGACCCGACCCGACCCGAGACGGACGGCGACGGCGGTGCGCGAGAGTCCCCCTTGTTCTCTATCACTCAACAAGGAAGTGGGAAAGGCAAGCCTTAAATACCATTCCCAATAGTGTTTCCAATACTATGTGGGATTTGAGCATTACCAACACTTGTTCCCAATACTACGTGGGGTTGAGCCTTAAATAGTGATATTATTTTTGAATGTTTTGCTTAAAATTGCAATAATCGCGATTGATTGTAGATTGACTTTTAATTATGACATATTTAATCGTATAATACTAATGCAATTGGTTGCTGATTCAGTTGTTTTAAGGTGCATGATTGTTAATTGTTTCCTGAATAATCACATTGTATTGGAAACAAGTGTTGGTAATGCTCAATCCCACATAGTATTGGAAACACTATTGAGAATGGTATTTAAGGCTTGGCTTTCCCACTTTCTTGTTGAGTGATAGAGAACAAGGGGGACTCTCGCGTGCCGCCGTCGCCGTCCGTCTCGTCTCGTCTCGGGTCGTGGTCGTGGTCGTGGTCGTGGTCGTGGTCATAGTAATACGTGTCTTCGACACGTCCGCGCGGATACTATCTTTTTAGAGAAAATTCTTAAGAAACAAAATCTTTTTTTTTAACTATCACAACGAATTTGGAAAATCGCAACGACAACTGTAGACTATCGCAACACGATTTTCAACTATCGCAACGCGAACTGGAAAATCGCAACGAGAAATGAAAAATCACAACGCGATTTTCGCAACGAATTTGGAAAATCGCAACGACAACTGTAGACTATCGCAACGAATTTGAAAAATCGTAACGACAACTGTAGACTATCGCAACGCGAAATGGAAAATCGCAACGCGATTTTCAACTATCGCAACGCGATTTTCAATTATTGTAACGCGAATTTGCGATAGTGGAGATCGCAATGCGAATTAGAGATCGCATTGCGATTTTGTTGGTCATTTTCGTAAATCCAAAAAAAGTTGATCAAAATCGTATATTATCTGAGATTTTTGGTCACTGAGGTTATTTTCTCTAAAAAAAATATCATAAATATAAAAATAATAAATTTAAACTACTAAAAGAATAAAAATGATCCTTAAGCTTTTTTAATAAAATATATTTAATACTTATTTGATAAATTTTAAAAGTTGATCAATTCACCATAATTGACCGGATAAACTGGATATTTTTAATTCAATTTACCAAAATAATCACAGTGAAACTTTATAAATTTTTTTTAAAAGAATAATGAGATATCTCCTTCAAAAACCAAAAGTTCATGGACAAACTGGATATTTTTAATGCAATTTTTGTCTTGTATTTATTGTCTACTTCTACTTTGCTGACAGTCTTTAGATTTCATCTTAAAAGATCCATTTTTTCCACAGTTGACCGGGACTTCGAATATTTCACGACGGTGACCGAATACAAAACCTCGGATTACGCCAGAGGGCTACCCGATTTCATCTTTATCATCACAAAAGCTCAAAAGAAAGCAGCAAAAGATATCTGATGATGAGAAAGAGTATCTTATTTAATGGTAGTTCATCATAAAAACTACATATTGCAACTCCTCGGAAACCACCGAACCCAGAAAGAAACAAAACAGACGCATGAAAAGACGGATATCAAAAACTCTAGACATCAAACAACAGTTTAAACAACCAAGTTTTACGCTTTCTTTCCTAACAAAGCTGTCCACAATCAGCGATCACAACAGGCTTCGATGTCCTTCCACCGCTGGACCCAACTTTCTCGATGGCTCTAACAACGTCCATGCCTTCAACCACTTGTCCAAACACCACGTGCTTTCCGTCCAGCCACTCGGTCTTGGCCGTGCAGATGAAGAACTGAGATCCGTTGGTTCCGGGTCCGGCATTAGCCATTGAGAGAACACCGGGACCGGTGTGCTTCTTGATGAAATTCTCGTCGGCGAACTTGGATCCGTAGATGGATTCGCCTCCGGTGCCGTTTCCAGCGGTGAAGTCACCTCCTTGGCACATGAAATTGGGGATCACACGGTGGAAAGATGAACCCTTGTAGTGGAGGGGTTTGCCAGATTTCCCGACGCCTTTCTCCCCGGTGCAGAGGGCACGGAAGTTCTCGGCGGTGCGAGGAACGACATCAGCGAAGAGCTCCATCAAAATTCGACCGGCCGGCTGACCACCGACCGTCATGTCGAAGAATACCTTGGGATTAGGAGCCATTATACTGAGATATTTTTAAAAGAGTAGGATCTTTTTGCTGCGATGTTTAGATTGGGTTTTGAGAGAGAGCGGAGGAGTTTATATAGGAAGAGGAAGGATCTCGACCGTTAAGACATAGACACGTGGATTAATCTCTGACGCGGAAAGATTAACCAGCGTAAGGTTTACAATTCGACTAGGGTTAATCATTGGGATCCGAGGGAGGTGGGAGGCATATGGTTTTTATCGGTATTGGCAGATGGGGAGCAAAACGACACCGTTGGTCTTCAAAGTAATAGAATGGCAGGAGTTTTGATGGGCCTTCTGAACTTTACCAGTCCACTGATAAAAGCGCTTCATTAGAATAGACACTGTTACGATTTATGCACCTTAATGTTTGGTGAGAAGCAATGGTGGATTGAGGCCTCAGTCATCTATGAAAAAAAATTAAATTTTCATATATTTTAGATATTTTCTGTTGTATTTTTTATTGATAATCTATTTTTGTCCCATAAAATTTAATTAATTTGTCTTCTCTAATAAATTATTAATTAATTCGTCTTCTCTAATAAATTATTAATTAATTCGTCTTCTCTAATAAATTATAAATTTACTTCTTTAACATATAACCATAAATCCGTCGATGATACGATGGATTGTGGATGATATAAATTTACAAACCGCAAATGATAATGAAGAATTCTAAATTACTTGTAGGGTAGAGGCAGTTAAAGCAATATTTTTGACAAGGTCAAATATCAGGTCATTAATTGGATAACCATAGGGCATTTTTTTATTCGTAAGATGACCATCCTTCACATGCAAAGATGTGGGCCTGTCTATATGTGGTTTTATGTTATGTGCAGAGATAGGTAATAAGAATTGAAAACACGATTGAATTAAATTTCATGCGCTACTAGCAGTTTATTTAGGTTGTACAGAAAAACAAACCAGAGTTTAACAAAGACCCAGCACTGCAGAATTTGGATACAAAACCCAAAGGATGGTTTTAGGATGTTCACAAGTTGATTATTCTTGCCATATTTGACTGCTTTCCAAGCACATTATCAGTTTTTTTTTATAAATCGAAATACGGTAATTCTCGTGTACACAAAAGTAATATAGCAGCCGATGCGATAAGTTTCATGGATAAAATCAGATCTCCAGACTTTCAAAATGGCTTGATTTCAACATCCTCGTGAAAACAAGATGTGGTAAAAAGAAAATGGTAGAAGGGAAGAATTTTTCACATGCTACAACTGCAAGGTGTGTCCTTTCTCCTGTGGCCTAATTCTCAAACTACTAGCGCCCTCACTTCGAATTTCTCTGGACTTCATAAGCATCGGCAATCTACTTCTTTTCTTTGATTTGGCAGCTGACTGAGTGTATGCGGTTCCCTGAAAATTAAGACAGACAAAACGGGGGGTGGGGGGGATTCAACAAGAGAGTAAAAAGATTGTTATAGATTAGTGAAGTATGCAACAAACTCATGATGTCCTATATATGTAAGACAGAGGTCCATAATAAGAGCAGTCGAGGGTGAATGGACTGAAAAGAAAAACACTAACTGCAATAGAGAATTATAGGAAGTAAATGACGGTGCATAAGCTAAGTCATAACCTGAAGCCATTCATCCATCGATGCATCAGTATTCCGAGTCCCGACTTCCACCTTTGGAGCCTTATTAGTTTTCTAAGAATGACATAATTAACGCAAACACATCAGACTTACTCCACACAAAAATACATATTTACTAGAATAAATCGATATAACTGATGGTGGCACAATTACGATACCTTGGTGATACGCTGAAATTGACCATGAAGCCATAAACCAAGGAGAACAAGAAGTGCAATCCCAAGGGTAACAAGAAAGACAGACTCAACACTGACAAATCCACCAGCCTCAACAACTTCAATGGTACCATTGTAGAATGTATTCTGGTAGGGGTACTGGTCAATTTCATAGACAATCGTACCCACAAGATCAAAAGTTCCAGGCTGCATCAAAGTTTTAGACATATGAGCTTAACTACAACTGGAATTTCTACGGTACAACTGCTTAATATAAAGCTAAGGAAAGGCGCAACCTAAATGTTATAAACAAAATGTTAATTTTTTTCTTACTTTGTTTTCGGATTCAAACCTTCTTCATAACATTTTAGGTTGTTATGTTGTTTATAACATTCCTTTCCTTAGCCTTGTATACAGTTCTTAAGCATACAACCCCCGGAGGAATCATTTACCTGTAAGTACTTGCTAACAGCAAACATGTATGGGAAAGTAACTTGCACTGACGAGGATACAGTCGCATTGTTGAAGACCTATATTTAACAACACATTTTTAGTTACATAATCTACAGCACATGTATGAAGGCAGTTTCAATCCAACAACATAAACCGTAAAACTTATAGATTAGAGGTTTTATCAACTTTATAGCAATAAAGAAGGTTAAAATCCTTTTCAAATGATGCAACAACCATTTTATAGGGTTTGGGGTAAAATACAAAAGAAAGCAAAAACTCAAAACATAAACCACAGAATAGTCAAAACAAACACCACAAGATTACAATTGCAACGGTGACCAAGTAGAGCTTGATATCTAAACTGTATTGAAATGCCCAGTATAATAAATGTAGGGTCCACACCTAAAGTTAAAGATACAGAAAAATCAACAATAGTGACACACTACCATTGTTTCTTAGACTGATCTAAATGCAGGTTCAACATACATGTAACATACTTCAAATTAATTAGGATCAGCAAAAATAATCAACTCCATTATCACTGTTAAAGCTCATTAAAGTAGGTAAGCAGTAGCACGGGGAACCTAAAATAGTATAAGACGTTCAATAAAGATACCACGAGCAAGAGAATATGCTTGATTTAGTAAATGCCTTTTAACCATGTAGACAACAAATAGGAAAAGCAAGCATATAATGATCTAGAAGGGTAAAAATAAGAGATGTTAGTTTAACTTGTAAAAACTAAATGGAAAAAATATTCAATAATGTAAAATTTTTAAGTTAGGAAATTATAGAAATTAATCAAAATGGAAACTGAGCTGGCTACTGATGCATGAGTATTTGAAAATATCACAAGAGCAATATTATGAAAACCTATGCTTACATGAGCTGTAAGATTTTGAACAAGCATTCGATGATCATAAGGGAGATGAACACTGGCTTGGATTGTAATGATTTTTAAAGGTGACTCCCCTGCAATTTTAAAAAGTATGGTAAGCATAAGAGAGGACTGGCATGGCTAATGAAAAAGTGGCTAGCATTTGAGCCTAGCTAATGAAGGACGGATAAATCAATCTATTTCAATACATAATACATCAAATGTATTGTAAAAAGAGTCAGTAAAGTTGTCAAGAAAAACTAATTACCAACATATTCCATCCCAACTAAAAGTTCAGTCTCTGCTCCGGCAGCAACCACTGCCCAATAGAGAAAAAAGAATGAAGAGAGTTTAACCATTACCAATAAAAAAATGTAAATCAGTTCCAAAATCATGACATCAAAAATGTTCTTACATTTCGCACTATTTTTGGGGAAAAGGCATACAGTTTCAACTCCCGGAGCTGGGCCAAATCTCTCACCATCAGTATCTGGAACATCCTCACCAACAATCCCAAGATCTCCTCCATCAACAACTTCTGTAACAACATCTGCTTCTGATTGACCCCTAGCGACTATCACAGAAATGAAAATCCATGTCACGACATAATTTAAAACAACATTGATAGTTTATTTATCTCTCAACAAAAGGTAAATAAAGATAATGTAACAAAAAAATGTAAATCGGGAAATACCACTCCAAGAATGTTACACAGAAGTAGTTGACAAGCATTCTCACAAAAAAAAAAAGTACTCGACAAGAGGGGCTTTTTGTTGGCATTTCTTAGAGCAGAAAAAGAAAGGTAAACTAAACTATAAAAACCGGTGAAGTCACGGAGGAAAAGGTATCGAATTATCGAAAGGAAAATGAAATGTCGGGGTATGCAATGCAAACATGTTAGAACGCAAAGAAATCACGTCAAATTCACACTATCGAATCATAAATCGAGAGAGAAGAAAATCAATTCACATGGATGTAAAGGGAAATATATTAAAAAAACACACTAAAAGAGAACGAATAGAACGGCAACTCATTTCAACAAATCAAAACAATCGCACGTATGAATGCAAGAGGAAAATCCCAAAGTGACATTAGAACATGTAAGCACAAATAGCAGATTAATGTTAAATGGAAAATAATAGATTTAGATCTGGAAAACAATTTACAGACCTTGGAGAAGAGGAGAGGCGGCGAGGAGTAGCGCAAAGAAAAAAGCCCTGAAACTTTTCGTAGCCATCTTCGGGAGTTTCATATGTCGTTAACGAAAAGAAATAATAATAGTTTTAAAAGAGAGAAATGATCGGTCCGTAAGAACTGTGTGTTAATGAATAAGGGCTGGCTGCGCCAAATATAAAATCAGACCCGAATAACAGAGCTGAACGAATGATCAAAGCCAAACGTTTTGTGTCGAAGGCTGCTTAAATAATAGGGTAAACTCATAAATGGTCCCTGAATTTATAGTAACATTTCATTTTGGTTACTTAACTTATAAAACGTGCAATATAGTCGCTAAACTTGTTATTAATTTTCACTACAATCACCGTCGGTAGTTTATGCAGATAAAAGCTAGCATGATACGTTAAAATTTTCTCCTTGCAACCGTCATTTGGAACATCAACGATATCATCGTTTGATTGTATCATTAAACAGAACATTTGTCATACTTCAGAATTTCATCATTTCTTCACGATTGATGAATCATTTATCACTGCCATTTCATCTAAGTCTCGAACACCACAAGTACAAGTCACAACCACCAACTACGATCAAACCAACCAAAACTCAAGTCGCCACCACTACTCTCCTTCAATATCACAACAATAACCACAATGGAAGCTAAACACAGAGAAAAACAAACAAAGAAGTAAAGAAAGGAAATGAAAATTATTCGTTTCGATCTTAGCGAGTTTTCAATGAACAAAGTGATCGTTGATCAAAATTCAACAATAAAAAGATTACAATTAGTCAAAAGATTAATATAGTTTGATTCTAAGTTGATCCAACAATTTTCAGTGACAGATCAAAATGTTTTAGTTTATAGTTTGATTTTATTAATAGACTTGATAGTATTAATTATAATCTTTGTAATGCATGGGGTATAGTCTAACCAATCTTTGATTTTGTAATTAGGCTGTTAATAGTCTTTTTTGGTGCTGATTGGTTTTGTAGCAGAACATTGCTCTTTGGATAATAAAATCTGATTTATCCAAAAAAGAAAATTGAGGAGATTGAAATTTTTTCCGACGAGTTTGAATCGAAAGAGAGAGAAAGAAGAGAAATAATACAATAATCTTTTTGAATGGAAAAACAATTAAACAACAATACAAATGATGGAAAAATGAGGAACGACTATCAATTTGGAATAATGCAATTTTGTGAATATTTTTGGAAGGGAGAAGATGACTTTAACTTGTCCCTTAAAACTTTTTTTTTTTTGACAATAATTAACGACAATGATAAAAGTGAAAGCGAATTGAAAATTCAATGATTAAATTATAAGTCTTAAAAGTTTGGAAGCCAAAATACAATTGATCTAAAAGTTCAGGAAGCATTTACGTAGTTTAGCCTAAATAATATACTGCCCAGTCTTGGGAAATAGAAAATATTTAGAATGGGTCATGCATGTACTTGAAAAAGAGCCTTGCCGGTACAAGTGTTATTCCCGAGTGATTTCGATTTATATCCATCGAACAATTCAAAAAAAAAAAAAAGCCGTTGCATAAACCTTTAGATTTTATCTAATCTATAAAGTATAAAAATGTGAGATACAAGATGAAGATTAAAGCACAAGTAAGGCAGTAGGTACCACGTTAACAAAACAAAGTCCATCAAAATATAAGTACAATGAGGTCCTCCCATGCACTCAAACGCCCGGTTACAAGCATAAGACCAATCATCAGTCACCGTGGATGGTGTAGCGCTCCCATTTCTTAGTTGGGTCATATATCTGCCATTGTACAAAACCACTAAAATTTAGTCTTCATCCTTTAACATATCACATCAATTCTAACAAGTTTCCATTGCATCAGTGGTGATAAACAGACATATACCTCCCATCTTGATGCAGGGAAGATGTGCTTGTTCCTTTCATACCAATGCCTCTCAACTACTTTACCAGCGTGCGACTGTCAATGATCGAACGAAATGGGTTTCATTAAGCATCACGCTATACAAATAGTTTTAAACTCTTCATGCAACTATAAGAGGTCGGAAAAATACCTCATCTTTCTCAATTGTAGCATCGGCTATTGTTCTCACATCTTCATGCACGTCAAAATGAAAAAGCTGTTTTGAATAAAAAGGGACAAACAACATTGATAAGCAATTGATGATAACTCTATCAAGACTAAGGTGTAAAATTATTTGAACTGAAAACTACTGATGTTAACTTCTCCGTTTTTGGCTCAGATTCGATGTAAATAATAAAACAATTTTGTGCAGTAAAATATACTACTCGTCAGACCTAAGATATGACAACTGATACACGGGAAAATTTAGAGAGTATTACCGGTCCACTTTTGCCCCTCGCCTTATTAACAATCAGCTCATAGAAGCTATGTTGCTGAACTTTCACAAAAATGAAAAGAAATGAAATTAAATGGGTTAGTATTCATTTAGCGCATTAAACATATTGCAGTAATTGAAAACCAATTTTATGTTCAACTCACATGAGGAACGATAAGATCTTCTTTTACATAAAGCAGGTTTTCCACTGTAGTTGTCCGAATCTCTCTGAACTCTGGTGCAAGCTGCTGCTGTACTGCTCGAAGGAATTCTCCTATGGTATCACCCTTACGTGCCTAAATAACAAAATAAAAAAACAGAAACAATTAAAATGATGGTCATCTTTTTCTTTTCTTTTTTCCCGTTAAAAAAGGAACTAGAAATTAAAGCGCATTCAAATAGATAAATTTTGCTTAGGTAGTTTTACTTGCCTTGATCACTCGTCTATGCCCAGCTCCATCCCAATAGCTGTAAGTTACTTCAAGGGGTTCATCTGAAAAACACACACACACACACACAAAAGAGAGAGAGAGAGGTCAAGACACCATATTTAACGCATCCATGTCCAAAAAGAAAATCTCAGGACAAAGCATACTCTTAATTAGCTCCTGTTCAACAATCCACTGTTTTCGCAGAATTTCACGCTCAGCTCGTTCCTCTGCTTCCCGTTCACTGCAGATTATCCTCATCAAGTCTAAGCTCAAATGTTGGGTCCAACACTACATGCATATAAATGCATGGCACGCTACCAGACAAGCATATAGAGAGAGAAATGTCACCTGTCAGGCAGAAAGCTTGTTTCCACTGTGGGATCTTTGCCAAATTTCCCAAGACTAAAACTCTTTTGTTCTGGACTTTCTGCACAGAGAAATGTCACTAGTAAAATGACTATTACCATTTACAGTTAATAGTTGAAAAACAACATTCTTTCATATCGTTGGGTTGGGTCTGTCCATGCAATACTTGATATCACTTAGCCAGACAAATGTTAAGACAAAACAATTCTAGATCTCTGAACATAATCGATAAACGGAACAGAGCATATGTAAAAGAGTTTTGAGCGGGTAGATTTTGCAAAAGAACAATTAGACCATTACCTTTGATGCATCTTTAGCTAATTGCATCCACCAATATTTGTACATTTGATACGAACAAATTATAATGCAATAAGCATAAAACTATTGCCATAAATTTTTAAGAGAAGGGAAAAAAATCATTTCTCACTGTTTTCAGCATCTTCCTCTTCACTTCCATTCTCCAAATCGTCAGCAAAAGATAGTCTAGAATTCCCTTTAACCTTCCTCTTTTTACGCTTTTGCAGCTGAAGCTCTTCCTCTCTGCAATATCAAGACAATAACGAATCAACTAAATAGAGGAACATAATTCGTAGAAAAAATTAAAAAATATATATTATACATGAGACTCACTCTTGTTTAAGCTTCTGGAGTTTCTCCTTCTCTTCCTCTTCGATCTTGTTTCGGATGTTAACTCTCTATCAAAGTAGCAAAAGAAATTCGAGTTAATGCACCTTATTTTTGAAAAGAACAAATGAATAATACAAACGGAATGAAGCCTTGAAGAATTAACCAAATTCAGAAACAAAATTACCTTCTCGACATATTGCTCTCTCGTGACCAAACCAACCGTTTCTTTTTTAAAAGCAGTGTCGAGAATCTAGAGAAACAAATAAGAACGAAAGAAATATGGATCAAATGGAAGTATTAGGACTAGCAAGGGATGGAAAAATAAAACCCTAGGGTTGTGAGAGGAGGCGGACCTCGGAAGTACTTGAGCCGAATTGGAGGAGACCGGATTGGTCCTTACCGGAGGCGGACTTGGTTTTAAGCTCTTGGATTTTGCGGCGCTCGGCCTCTCTCTGCTTCTGCAATCGTCGGATCCTCACCGCATCTTGGGCCGTGCCCACGTACCCGTCTCCCATACCCGACATCTTCGGCTTCTTTAGATTTTCTTCTTTTCTTTGGGTTTATTGACCCCCTCTCTCGAGCGCTTTTACTCCCTATTTGGCTTTTTGTTCAATCGATATGCAGAGAAAAAATAAGTGGTAAACTACATATTTAGTATTTCAACTATCACTTTTATTTCATTTTGATCATTTAACTATTTTTTTCAAAATTATACCTAATGTTATGTTTCGGTTCATATTTGGTCAATATTGTTAAAAAATTAACATAACTATTTACGTGAATTTTTTTATTTTCTCAATGATGATGTGAGATTATCTTATGATGTTACGTCATCACCATTAATATTTTTAATGGTTGGTGATCAAAATAATATTAAAATTAAATGTTATACATGATTTTCAGAAAATAATTATATGATTAAAATGAAATAAAAGTAAAAACAAAAATTATATTTAAAGCACTAAAATTGTGTAGTTTACCCAAAAATGAAAGGTAAAATAGAATTATATAATTTAATTATGAGTTCGATTAAAAGATATATTATTCTTTCTAAATTTAAAATTTTAGTTAATTAATTATTTATTTGTTACAACTTACAAGTAGCACATTATCCGTAATATTAACTAGATAAGATCTTATATGTTAAAAGTTTACCACAAACAAATATGTAAACTATATTTTTAGTGTATAAATTATTATTTTGATTCCACTTTGGTATTTAAATATTATTCTTTTTAAATCATACATAAAGTTTAATTTAGGTTTCATTTTGATACCTAACATTAAAAATTTAAGGTAATATTGATGTGTCACTATAAGATAATACAATTTTATCATTAAAAAATAAAAAGGCAAAAAGGCACTAGAGGTCACTAAACTTTAAAAAAAAAAAACCAATGTGGCCTTTATCCTATTTTTTGGATAAATGTGACCCTCCAACTTGAAAAAAGAGCCTAATGTGGCCATTGACGGAAATCGTTAGTCAAAGGGTCACACTGATCTTTTTTGGAAAGTTCAAGGACCTTGAGTGTCTTTTTGCCAATAAAAAAATATCACACCAATAATTTAGTTAAATTTTTAATGGTGAGGTACCAAATTGAAACCTAATTAAACATTAAGTATGATTTTGAAAAAATAATAAAGTTTGAGTGCCAAAACAAAATAAAAGTAATAGTTTAGTTCATAAATATGTAGTTTAACCTAACTAAATAAGTAACAAAACATTTTCATCTTAGCTTAAATGCACCATTGACCCCTAAACTATACACTTTTTACTGAGTTGTTGTTGGGATTCCGGTGAAGCTCAATTGAACAACCGAATAATTTGCTAAGAGGGGTGAATTGACTTTTTGAGTTTAGGGAGTAAGGAGTAAAATGATGAAACAATTTGCATAATGATTTATAATGGTTCGACTTCTCAATCAAGTCTACATCCACTACCTAAGCTCCCCACTTAGGATTTTCTAACAAATTCACTAATTTGTTCTTTTTTTTTCCAAGACAAAGAGATAACATTTACAGCTCCCTAGCTTTTCAAAGGCTAAGCTATAACCAATCCCCTTTCCAAAAAGAATAAGAAATGTAAACAAAAAAAACCTCTAAAAAAGAAAGTGTTTACAAAAAAAAAATTAAGCTCACTAAAAAACAATTGAAAGATTTGCAGTGAGCTCAAAAAAACTAATATTTACAAGAGAAAGAAAAACAAGAATTAAAAGATTTTCTCTTGTGTTTGATTGCTTGGATTGGTGTTCCAATATTCTTCAAGTGTCCTCAACTTGTTTTTATACGTTGGAATGAATTTTTTGTCGTTTCTAGACATTTGGGATGTTTTGGAGCCATTGGGGATTAATTTTCTGTAAAATAAAATTGCCCAGGACAGGGAGTATCGGTACTCCTTTAACGAGTATCGGTACTACATTTGTAATATTTAAATAAACTAGTCGTTAAGGACTGTTGGGCTTAACCAGTATCGATACTATGCTTCATGGTATCGATACTACTATGTAAAGTAGTATCAGTGCCTCCTTGAGTATCAGTACCTATTTTGCATTATGAAATTTGAGCAATTTGGAAAACAACTGGTAGTATCAATACTACATATAGAGTATTGATACTTCTCTTACTTTTGATATCGGTACCACATGAACAATATTGATATTGTTCATAGATTATCGATACTGTAAGAACAATATTAGTACTATGTACCCAGAAGACTTGTTTGGTAATTAAATTCTAGTTTAATGGACTTTGAATTATTTTTTAAAACTTTGAACAAATTCAATCAAGTCCAAAATATTTTCCTTAATTTGTTATATCAAAACATTATAAAACACGGTTCAACAATCTTCCCCTTTTTAATATAACAAAACATTTGAAAAAATTGTTTTGGCAAAACTCTCCCTTAATAAAATATTTAATGAAAAAGATAAATTTTTGGAAAATATTAAAGCTCCCCCTTTATTCATTGAGAAATTGAATTTTTCAAACATATTTCTCTCCTTTTTGTTATAAAAAATAATTCAACTTTAAAGTTCAAAAATAACAATGGAGAGTAAGTGATAAATTTTAGCATAAAATCATTTGAAAAATCAAAGCTCCCCCTCAATAAAAGCATTCCAAACAAAAATTTGACTTTAAAAGCTTGACACTTAAAGACATTGAATTTCAACAAAGATGAACAACATGTTAGTAGCACATGAAATTCAATATATCCAAGTCTAATATATTTTATGCAATATCAATTTTTGTATTTAAGTGCATGTGCATAAAGCTATCCAAAAATGTTATTCATTTGAAAACTTGATATAAATTGTTAGAGAGATATCATTTGCAGTAAATCACATACATAAACATTTAAATTAAGGTCAAAAATTAAAATTTGTAAAACAAACATTAAAACCAATTTTGACCAAAAATCATTATGATGAACTAAAAATTATGAAAAATCATTAAAACTTTAAAATGTCCATCATAATACACTTTTTAACATACATGAGATAAAAACATAAAATTATTTAAAATCAAAATTCATGCATACATACAACAAATAGGCAACCAATTAATCAAAACAAAAACATTGAGCTTAGAGGTTACCCATTCCTTTTCAAGTGTGGGTAGAACATTTGAATATCTTCACTTTCATCACCATCGCTTTCATACACCTACAAGAGACATTTATGTGGATTTTGATATCCAACTTGCTTTAGATCTTTGAACGTTAGTTTCAATGCCCATTGTTCCTTTAGGAATTCATACTTGTTTAATTTTAAAATGTTTTCTTTTCTTTAAAGGACAAGTATGTTCCTTGTGACCATGATAATGACAATGTAAGCATTTTGTCATTATGAAATTAGATGAATTATTTAAAATGATTTTATTTTCTTTTGTTAAGCATTCAAGCTTAACCTTTAAATCAAAACTTTCTTTTTCAAAATTTTCAATTTTTATTTTTTAAAGCTCTAAATCCTTTTTCAAAATTTCATTTTGTTTTTCAAAATCAACTTTTGCTCTAAAAAGAAAATCGTTTTCAACTTTAAGTTTTGAAATCATTTTGTTATATTTGGAGTTCATGGTCTCAAACTCCAAAAATAATTCATCAAATGCATCTTGTAACTCATCAAAAGAATATGAATCAGGTTCATTAAAGTTAGAAGATACATTGGGCTCTCCAAGAGCCATTAAGCACACTACCTTTGGTGGTTTTTCTTTCTTGTCACCATGAAATTCCTCTAAGCTTATTCCAAAGCTCATTGGCATTTGAACAAGAAGAAACTCCTTCATAAACATCGGGACCAAATGCACAAAACAACATGCGCATGGTCTTAGCATTTTGTTGACATTTCTTCAGTTCTTGGGCACTCCACTCCTTCATCTTCTTCTTTGGAGAAGAGTAGCCGTTCTCATCATCTCACATGCATCAATATCATTGGATTGGATGAATAGCTTCATTAATTTCTTCCAATAACGATAGTTGGCTCCATTAAAGTATGGAGGCTTGTCGATCTGTTGGGAGTCTTCCATGTGGAACGAGCAGGAGGTGGAAGTCATCTTATTGGTTGTCTCGAAAATGGATAGAGCTTCTTCAAGGATCGTCTCAAGGAATGAGTCAAGCTCTGATACCAATTGTTGGGATTCCAATGAAGCTCAATTGAACAACCGAATAATTTTCCAAGAGGGGGTGAGTTGGATTTTTGAGTTTAGGAAGTAAGGAGTAAAAAGATGAAACAATTTGCACAAGGATTTATAGTGGTTCGACTTCTCAACCAAGTCTACATCCACTACCTAAGCTCATCACTTAAGATTTTCTAACAAATTCACTAATTTATTCTTTATTTTTCCAGGCAAAGAGATAACCTTTACAACTCCCTAGCTTTTCAAAGGCTAAGCTAGAACCAATCCCCTTTACAAAAGGAACAAGAAATGTAAACCTCTCAAAAGGAAGGTGTTTACAAAAAAAATTTAAGCTCACTAAAAAACAATTGAAAGGTTTGCAATAAGCTTAAAAAATACTAATATTTACAAGATAAATGAAAAAAAGAATTAAAAGCTTTTCTCTTGTGTTTGATTGCTTGGATAGGTGTTCAAATCTTCTTCAAGTGTCATCAACTTGTTTTTATACGTTGGAATGCGTTTGTGGTCGTTTATAGCCGTTGGGATGTTTTGGAGCCGTTGGGGATTATTTTTCTGCAAAATAAAACTGCCCAGGACAGGAGTATCGGTACTACCTTTATAATATTTAAATAAACTAGCTGTTAAAGACCGTTGGGCTTGACCAGTATCGATACTATGCTTCATGGTATCAATATCACTATGTAAAGTAATATCGGTACCCCATTGAGTATCAATACCTATTTTGCATTCTGGAATTTAAGCAATTTGGAAAACAACTGGTAGTATTGATACTACCTAGAGAGTATCGATACTTCTCTTACCTTTGGTATCAATACCACATGAACAATATTGGTATTGTTCATATAATATCGATACTGTAAGATCATTATCGGTACTACATACCCAGAAGACTTGTTTTGTTCTCAAATTCTAGTTTAATGGACTCTGAATTATTTTTGAAAACTTTGAACAAATTCAATCAAGTCCAAAAATATTTTGCCTTAATTTTTATATCAAAACATTATAAGACATGGTTCAACAGTTGCCAATTAAAATATTTTTTCGAAACATTTTACCCTTAAGATTTAAATCGTTATCTCATTTTTCCTAAATTCTTAACTCCATTAAAAATATATGGATAAATTACATATTTGGTCATTTAACTATCATGCAGTTATATTTTGGTCACTCAATTATATATATATTTCAAAATCATCATTAAACTTAAGTTTTAAAAAATTTAAATTTAGTGATGATTTTGAAAAAAAAATTGTGATCAAAATGGAACCATGAAAATAGTTGAGTAGGTAAATATATAATTTATCCTTGTTGTTTTTAATGGAATTCACTCTCTATGACAAATGAAGTAATAATTTAAACTTCAAAGTGTAAAATGTCTAGAAAAAATATTTTAGGGGACAACTTGATTGATACAAATAACATACTTTAGGGGGCAATGACGTATTTAATCCTTTACTCTAGTGCAGTGTAGAGACCATCGATATAAAATGAGTCAAATTTCCAATATATTTTCATTTGCGTCACAAAACGACGGAATATATGGTTTACGAAAGGCTTTATGCTCTCGTGCGTGGATTTCCAATCATCAAAAGGCAAAATAAGAGCCAAGAATAGACATTAGATGTGAATTTGTGAAGGTTCTGTTCAATCTCAAATCATGGATCAACTCACGAGCGATTCTGCTTTTGTTCAATCCATTCCATCTTCTAACTCAAATCCTTCAGTCATTGAGTTCCGTCAAGCCCCCATCGATCCACTCCTTCACTCTACCGCCCACACCCTATCCAAATCCGGGTTAGGTTTTTCTTATCTCCAATTTTCGTTTTTCATTTCTTTTTAACTTCCACAACGATTAATTTTTTGGCGGGTTTTAGTTATTTGATTGTATTAAATTGATTTCATGCTATTTTTTGGCAGCCAAAGGGTTGAAGTTGAACCCAAAGATTGTATCGCGGCGAGAAAACTTCAAAAGGCTGACCGTGAGAAATTAAGAAGGGACCGTCTCAATGAACACTTCCTTGAGTTGGGAAATGCACTCGGTTAATTTTTAACTTTCCTTTAAAACAATCACTTTATATCCCCGCCAGAAGAAAAATATTGGTACTAAATTATGAAATTGGGCACCTGCATAATTTGATCGCCACAATTTGATTTGAAGCTATGGTCTTTATTTGCATATGATTATTAGTATTGGGTTTGAGTCCTTGAGCTTTAATTCATCGTGCAGAATGCTAATGCCCATGAAATTTGATTGGAAAATTGCTAGTAAATGCTTCCAGGTTTTTTGCACTATTAATTTTCCCCCCCTGGTATTATTGGTGAAAGTCTTAGTTCATATCTGTGTGAAAAACAGTTTTCACTGTATTAGTACTTGATATACAGTTATAGTTTTATTTTTATCTTTCCCTATAAAAATTCTGAAGGGGGATGCTTATTTGTTTGCACAATCCAGATCCTGATAGGCCTAAAAATGACAAAGCAACCATCCTTACTGATACAATACAATTGCTGAAGGACCTTACATCTCAGGTCACCAAGCTGAAAGAAGAGTATGTTACACTGACTGAAGAATCTCGTGAGGTTATCCCTGTCTATTTGGCTTTATCTATGGTTCTTAGATCTGCAAAACTTCTGATGGGGATTTTACATGGTCTTTTCTTTCTTTTGGAGCAGTTGACACAGGAGAAGAATGATCTCAAAGAAGAGAAGGCATCTCTTAAATCTGATATCGATAATCTTAATATTCAATACCAGCAGAGAGTCGGGACTGTGTTTCCATGGGCCACTGTGGATCGCTCAGTTGTCATGGCCCCTCCTTATCCATATCCAGTACCAATGGCAATGCCTCCTCCAGGAGCCATTCCTATGCATCCGTCCTTGCAACCATTTCCTTTCTATGGGAATCAAAATCCGGGGATCATTCATAGCCCCTGCTCCACTTTTGTCCCATACATGACTCCTAATATTATGGCTCAACAGCAGTCAGCACAGCCTGTTGCTCCACCTGCACAACCAAGCAGCCATTCCCATGGTTCAGGCAAACAAGATTCAAAAAACAAGTCCTCATGGGAGAGCAAGACTGGAAAAACTGTGGATTCAAATGATGTCGCTACTGAGCTCGAGTTAAAAACACCAGGTTCTACGGCAGATCAGGTTTGTTTAGAGTGTTATTGCTTGGTTTGTGCTTTGTGGCAGTCCTAGTGGGTATTGTTCCATTATATGATTTAACATATTAGTTAGAGTGCATGGCTGACTTAATGGTGTACATCTGCAGGATTTATCATCAGGCCAAAAAAGGATGAAGAAATCTTTAAGGAAAGATGACAGTACTACAGAAGGGAGTTATTCAAGTAGGTGCTCCTCATCTTATAGTGTACGGGATAGCTCATCCAATAGCATAGTGGGTGGAACAAAGCCTGATGACGTAGATGGGTAAAACAATTGACAAATGCCCGAGCCAGGTTGTTTGCAACTTCTGCACATCCTGTTTTCCTTTTATTCTATGCCCTAGTAGTTCCTAATTTCTCGTCCACTTGACAATCTAATTATTTTCCCACAAACTTTATCAATTGGAATTACTGTTATGAATTCTAGGCTGAGTTTGTCCTGAATCTCACTTTCTCGACATGGAAAGGATGGTGGTGATAATATATTCTGCGCCGCGCCTTCTGTGGTGGAATAGAATTTCGGTGGAACTAACAAAGCAATGTTGGAACTGATGGTTGTAAAGGTTGATAGTTGGTTTTTATGTAATCCATTTATGTAAAGTATGCACTTTGAACATTCTGATTGTCTCTCAAATATTTCAAAACTGGAAAAAGTATTTTTTTTCTTCTCAATGCTGATATCCTAGATTCCTAGTAGAAAAGTATTGATGAAACCCCTAGATTGCTGGTGTGTAATGTTGACCATTGTTCTATAATATCTGTTAAAATTAATCTGTTTCGTGCTACGAAGAATAATCTAGTTGTGTTGGACGCTTTATGCAAGCTTTGTTTTGAGCAATATTGTACATGGTTAAACATATCTTGCTTAGGTTCCCATATGGAGAATATTTGTAACCCCCTCAGGCCGATACGGATAATCCGATCCAGTCTGGAGTGTCACATTAGGGCCATCGGAGCGACCCACTGTAAAAATGGTGGAAAATTTAAAACTTTTATTAAAAAATATAACTTATAAAATGATTTATCAGTATGTAGAAATAAAACAGATTTTCAGACTCGCATATAAATCAAAATACAATTACATGCCCCCTAATCATATGTACCATTCTCTGCAAGCAACGCCGAAAGTACTTCCTTATTGATGTCGATAGCTACACTGATACAATTCTTTTAACCTGTAATGGTGAGTAATAGAGTGAGCTTCAGAAAGCTAAGTAATACAGAACTACTAGGTAATGCTATAGGACATGCAGATAAATGGAAAGCCATATGATTTTCTTATTGAATCAGACGTATACCGGTTTTCGGGATAATCTGGGGTTCCATTAATAGTTCATCGAGTAGAATTCATGAAGATTTTAGGTCATAAGAAGCATTCATAGTATGACATTTTCAGGATATCGAATAGGATGTCTAGTGTGTTCCAACAATACGATAAAATCATAATAGGTACACTAATCAAATGATGGTTCAGTAAATTTTATAAATCATACTGTAGTGGAGCTTTTTAAACTCGTAGTTTAAAACTATCATATAAAGAGTTAACCTAAGGGAACATCTTAGGGCCTGAGAGCCTACACAAGAAAGTTCGGGGCCATGAGCCTACCTAAGAACACTTCTTAGGGCCGCAGTGCCTACCCGAAAATGATCTCAGGGTCGTAGAGCCTACCTAAGAGTCACATTAGGTCCATAAAAATTTTCCAGCTTGATCAGAGCTGTACTTTACAAATCAGTATCTCCAAGATACAATTTATACCGTGATACAATTACATAAGCCATCACCATTAAGTTGATGTATCCATAAAACAGTAACCATAGATTTCAGTGTACCTCATGTTAAAAACAATAAAATAATTTATTAATATATAAGGAACACACTAGAGAAATCCAAATATTTTTCAGAGGTATTTTGTAGTTGTCAGTATGGATAACATGAAACTTGTGCAATTTGATCGAATTCCAGGAACAAGGCCCTATTGAAGAGAATCAATTACTAACATATCTAATCAGGCATTTAAGGTTGATACTTTAGAATCCCACTATGTTTTCATGTGCATCAGGAAAACGTTTAGGAATGATCAAAGTGATTTGAGCTAATAAAGGAGAAACAGAGATTCCAGACATTTACAATTCATGTTGATCGATCGGTTTATCGAACAGTTCGAATTGAACAACTCTCAGAACTAATGCATGTCGACCCGTCAATTTGTTACCTTTCCAGGGTATTCACTCTTTAATACTAACAATTATTGTCCATAAATCATCTTCGTAATCATCTCTGAATAGATCTTCCAATGGTCTTTATTTCATTTCCACGCTTCAACGATATCAGGAAATACTAGCGTACTTGATTCATGGTTCATGACCCATAAGGACAACTCATCATGTAAGTTCAACAATGTTTCCAGACTCATCCAAATCACTTATTTAATCCTCAGTCATTGAGGTTACTTAGTTCATTTAGCAATCATGTCTATCCCGATTACTTCAGAGTTTTCCAGAGTAATTCAGACGTTTATGAATTTCGGATACATATTGTACTTTCTTTCAGTTCAATTTAGTCATATAATAACGTCATTCTGGTATTCCTGGTTGATTTGTCTCACGAATATTCACTTCTTAGTATCAAATGCGATCTAGAGTTAAGATGAGCTAAGTACTTCCAGAATTATCATCGATCCAAACTTGAGATGACAAACACGCACTCAAGTGATATTGATGCCATTCAAGTATTGGCATAACATTAGGGTTGATCTACTCACTTAAATTGTGTTCCATTACTTTTTAAGGGTAGTACAACATCTATGTTTATTTGAATTCCTTAATTAATCCAAGATATTTACTTAGTCTAGACCATAAGGGTATTTTGGTCATTTGGCACTCAATGTTATTCAGTCATTTTAGAGCTTACGGATATCCAATCATTATTGGGCTTGGTGATATTCTTGGGTCATTTCCATTCCAGGGTATTTAAATCATTTCATTCCATATGATCTTATTATTTAACTCAAACGTATAATCTTTTCCAAACCTTTCGAACAATTCTGACAAAAGAGCACCATCGATAATTTATTCTTAACTCGGAGATGATCAGGTTAATTGCCTTCTCAGGAGTTACAAACATGTTATCAGGAATTTTCTGTACAAAGACGAATCTTAACCATTAAATCCGTAATTTATCGAGTTAAGTACGAATCATCAAAGTACTTTCTCATTCAGGGTTAACTCAGAATATTTTTACCTCTCAATGTCATTTTCGTAATTTCTTAACCATATAATTTCGGTATTAACTCTTAACGAAAATAATTATAATTTAGAGATCATATGATTAATTACTTTCCCGAACATTTTCTGATATTGAAATGATTCCTTAACATACTTCTAGTATTTTGCACAAACACTCTTGGGGTTAAAAATCGGTTCTCCAAATTTTCTAAGGAAACTAGCATTTCTTATGCACATTAGTAATTTTATCGGATCAATATGTCTTTTCAGAGTTATTAACCAACTTCCAGGGACAATTCTTGTCATCTTTCAATATAAGGGTATTTTCGTAATTTTACCCTACCGGAGTATTCTCATAATTTCCAATCCAAGTACCTTTGATGAAATGAATTATAATTTACATAACCAGACTGATTCATTTATCACTTAATCACAAAGCTTGTAGTTTAATTCCAACCGTCCTCTAATTTCTTATATTAATCATATGAACCATATTCAGTTATCGCATTTTTACTGTATTCAGATCGAGTGTAGAAATTAACTAACTACACAAATGAGACCAAACATTTTTTATTCATGCATTTACCAATATCAACATGTTCCATAAAGCATAAAGAGATAGTAAAGTATTACCTTGATTTTCGTGCCATACTGATCGACCATATAAATTCCATTCGAACGCCCTCAATCTTTAATTCAACTTCCAATAATTCCTCATATACATATTAACAGAAATTTTATAGAAAAAGCAGAGCTTAATTCTAAAAAAACGGATCGAATCGGGTGATTAATCAGTGAAAAACAACTTTCCAGATTTGAATTTAGCGAAATGGACCTCAAAATCGGAACATCAACAAAACTCAAAATATTAGTCTTAAATTTCAGCTCACTAACTTGATGTCTAGTTTCCAATCTTTTTCTAACGAACACGGATAATTTATCGTACAAATACGACTTCCAATAATTTTTCTTGCCATAAAAATTAACTTATTAGAATCTAATTAATAATTTGGAAACCCAATTTGCATAACTAAAAACTTGAAGAGCCAGTAATATTTAATTACTAACATCATGGACTAAATTGATCTTGTAAAAATTATTATGTCATAATTATAACCACTTGGAAACTAAGAGACAAGGTAAAGATCTCACCAAACTTGGATGACATACCTTGTGATTTACCCCTTTTTGCATGTTATCAACAATTCCCCGCAACCCACATGAATTCTTTCATTGCTCCCTTTTCACTTTCCAAAATCATGTGCACTCTGAACTAATTTACAATTATTTATTAATTTATTTATTTTCAAAATCTCCATTGATTTTAATCTACGAATTATGCTACACAAATTCAAACATTTCTCACCTCTCCTCTTCTACGCAGGTTAGCCATGGACCTTATGCATCATTCCTCCACTTTTCTCATCCCCTCCATTCCCGTCGACACCCACCGCCCTCCACTAACATACACCCTTGTGATTCTTAACCAGAGCCATAATATAATCTTCCAGTTCAAGAACTAGGAGCTGCCGACGTCAAAATTAGGGGGCAGTAGCCACATAGATCCGACGACCTCACTTCTAGGCCAGTCGTGACCTCAAACGGCCAGAAAAGGCGACAAAACTGAAACAGAGTTGCGACAGCAACAACCCTACGTTGTTGTACCTCTTTCGTATCTCGTCAGCATCATTCACCAACGCCAAAAGCATAGGTGGCACAAGGGGAAGACAAGTGGCACGGTACTTCTCAACCGCCGACAGCATTTCGTTCATGTTAAACTTTAATAAAATCACGACCTTGGTTCCGTTCGCGAGCTTCTCGATGGCAAAAGCTCCGAATCCATATATGTGGAACATGGGAACGGTGTAGATATGGGTTTCCTATGGAGTGCGTGTTAGGGAAAACGGGTTATTTCCCACACGAACGTAGTTTTAAAATTGACCTAAAATGTCAAGATTAAAACCACCAAAGGTTGCACAGCGGATAAACCTGTCAAACTATTGAATATTGAAACACAATGGAAAAGAACCGAATAAAAAACAATAAAGGAGAGAACACACCAAATTTACGAGGTTCGACGAGAATATCGTCTACTCCTCGGGCACCACACCGGATGATAACTTCACTATATCACCAATATTACAACAAATGGAATTCTTTGGAATTCCCAAAGTGGGAGAATGAAGAATACAAGAGGAAGAGAGAACTTGTTTTTGGGATGATTTCTAATGGAAATACTTAGGCCTATTTATAGTTGAGTTTCAAGAACAATATGTTCAAAGTTTGGCCACCTACCAAAGAATTTTCCAATGTGTACTAGTTAGCCACCAAATATGAAATTCACATGTTCAAAGTTTGGCCACCAACCAAGATGAAATTTCCAATAAGTTGGCCACCAATCAAGATGAAATTTCCAACTTGTCAACTTAATTTCTAGACAAATCTAA